TTGGGCTTTCGCTATGCTCAATGGAACCATATCTGAGTAGTAAACGGTGTTAATAATTATGTCAATTGTATCATGAATTGGTACATTTGTGAATAGTGATTCAACATCCAGAGAGGATGGTTTATTAATGCGGAGGAGATTAATAAACTCACGGAAAGATTGTAGTGTGTAATTGTTTGGAATATATGGGGTTAAAATTTTGTTCAAGAATTTTGCAACAGGGTATGTGACAGTTGTAATTTGGCTAATAATTGGTCGGATGGGATGATTATTCTTATGCGTTTTTATATTTCCATATAAGTAGCCAGGAGAGTATTCGCGTATAAGTGATGGAAGTTTGTGATCGGTGATGTGCTTTTTTATTTTCTTAATTATTGTGTTTAGTTTAGTTTTTAGTTGAGGCGTGGGATCTTTTTCGAATACTTGGAAATTTTTAGTATCCTTGAGAACATCATTGAGTTTTTCATGATAATCTGCTCGGTCAATAATGACATATTGTCCGATTTATCTGCGCGTCGTATTATAATGTCTTTAGTTTCCCTCAGTTGTTTTGCCGCTTCTTTCATTTCATCAGTGAGCAGCTTGCTTTAGAAACTCCCACGTTGTTTCTTGGCTTCAGCTTGAAGTTCAATGGCAATAGAAGGGTTTACGTTTATTTTTTAGTTAACAAAACGCATATATATATATATATATATATATATATATATATATATATATATATATATATATATATATATATATTCATATATATTTTATTATATATATATATATATTTTCATATATATATATATATATATATATATGAAAACCTCAACACTTCTGAGTTTGTTGAATTCATATTTATTGAGATTAAATGCAAAATTTAAAATAAAATATTAAGTGAAATTTAAGTAAATGAGCAGTTTAATTAATAAATTAAATATTAATTAAGTTAAAATATGAGAGTAACCTTCGAATATTAATGACATTATATATATATATAAGAAAATATAAATAAATTCATTTATATTTCCTTATTACATTTGCTCATTTACTTAAATTTCACTTAATATTTTATTTTAAATTTTGCATTTCCGACTATGTGTTTTTGATCTAATAGGCTCCGACGATGGTTAACTCCGAAACAGTACTGTCAGCCAAGCTCAATAATAATTTCCTCTCAATAAATAT